GCACTCTCTCTCACACACACACACACACACACACACACACACACACACACACACACCATTCAGTGCCTTCAAAATATAATCTATGCACATTAATCTTGCATAAGTGAAACTGTACATTCTGTCTCGTATCATTTGTCTTAAAATCTATTAAAATGTAATCAATTCTGTGAAACTAAAGTCAACTAACTACTAACTATATAAACATCAACACTTTATGCATGACCTAAAATGTGCCATGCATCTTCGACAATGACTTATTTCAAGTTGTTTAAATCAGCAATGAAAATCATTCATTCCATTCATCATTCTCTTCTTCTCAGTGTCTCTGGTCAGACTCTGCTTTGGTCCTGTGGACCGGAGAGGCTCAGACCTTCAGGTTGTGCTCAGGCCAGAAGGGGGACTCGTGCTGCAGAGGATTACGGCGAGGGAAGAAGGTGTGCTGGAAGTCGTAGTTGAGCAGGCAACTGATGGAGGCCATGTAGATGTCTGCAAAGCGCGACAGTCGGCGGGAGAAGTAGGTGGGGTTGTGGTAAGTGCGGAAAAGACTCCCAAACTGAGCGTTGAAGCTGTCCTTCGTCTGTGGCCTGCCATTAAAATACATACATAAGCATTTGGTTTAATCAGTTCTATGAGACCTCAGGAAACTATTGACCTGCTCATGAATGTCAGAGTAATTATCTCTATTACCTCATGGCCTCTCTTTCTCTGATCCACTCCTCAACGACAGCTTGAGACGCCGGATCCCTGTGCACCTGTCCAGGAGAAGTGGGAAGAAGTTAGGCACATAAAGTTGAGATAAAAAAATGCAGAATGGAAGACTGACACACAAGTCTCTTCACCTGCATCTGTTCAATGAGTCCAGTCAGTGCCTGTAACCAGGTCATCATGTGCACATACTGCTCTGTGTTCATTATCTTGATCTCTTTCCTCAGCTCAGGGATGATGGCACCTGTTCTCCAGCCATGTTTCAGTGTTAGATCCTGCAGTGAAAAACACCATAAAATCAGTCTTGAACACAGAAATATTGTGAACATCATGATTTGTTTGTATTTGTTTGGCCAGTGTGAGGCGTGTGTCTCAAGTAAGAAATAATTAAGCAACAAAAGTAAATTACTGCCATGTATGCCTCCACCAACCAGTGCGGTTCCAGTCCAAATAAATGTTTTCATGCATCGTGACCTTTGACCTTTAACCACCCAAATCAAATCAGTTAATCTGAGAGTCTAAGTGAACATTTGTTCCACATTTGGAAGGAATCTCTCGAACCACCGGATTCTAATCTGTTAATGTTTGAGTTCAGAAGAACGTTTGTACTGAACCTGAAAGGATTCCCTGGAGGTGATCCTGAGAAATTGTGTTCAAAAGGCAAAAAAAAAGTCCTTGTGAGGTCACACTGACCTTGACTTTCAACCTTTAACCACCATCTAATTGATTCCAACTAAACTTTTGTACCAAATTTGAAGACATTTCCTCAAGAACATCTTGAGACATTGTTCACAAGAATAGGATGAGCATACGTACAAATGGACAACCTGAAAACACAATGCCTTCGGTCACTGTCTGTCTTCAGCACAGAGTCATAAAGACAGGGGCCTCTATAAATCATTTAATCGAGTGTCAGGCTAAAGATATATGCATACAGTACATGCAGTCACAGAACTATCGTACACTGCAGCACACAGCGCTCGCAGTTCAACATACAGTCAATGCAGCAGAACACTCAGATCAAAGAAAACAGACTTCAAGCCTTAATCCCCCTGGCTGCAATTAAGTGCCTAAATCCATGGTGAAGAGTGGCCTGTTAGGTGGCCAGGGCAAACAGCAGCAGCATCATTAAAACCAAACCACATCTGTTCCATCAGACAAACATGAGATTGAAAAACTACATTGACGTGGATCAGAGAAATGAGAATATTCCTTTCAATATTGCTCCCTCGATTCCTCCCTCCTGAGATGCCTCTACTCTGTTTCGACCCACAGTAATGATCTCATCCCACAGCCACTGAGGCCGACTGTAAACTGTGGCGAGAGTGAACTTCACACGCCGTGTTCCATCTCAATAAATAAGCAAGATGATATGTTTGACACTTGGCTGCCTGCCAACAGCGAGGGCATCAAGCCAGAGATGTAAAACTCTGTCTTTCATTATCGCCATTTATAGCTGATCAGACACATGTACAAATATCCACGTTGTTAGAGTGAATTGTGATGCAGTTAAATAAACAAGAAGATGCTGGTTTGTTAAGGGCAGATGTGGAGCAGCTGTTTGCAGGTCACTAAATGTAAAGGGATACTACTTTACAAGTGATGTCTGTCATTCTATGAAAAGCTACGGCAACTGTGGTTGAATGCATGAAGATTTTTCATTTCATTCATCACATTTTTATTACAATATCCAGCCGGGCTGTATGTTACTCAAAACATTTCCGGAACGTTTCCTTTTTGAAAATATTTCCGTCGCTTCGTCATTTAACAGCAGGTCGCCAAACGCCGCAGATAAGACCGTATGCGGAAGTTTGTATTTCTCGCCGATGCATCAGTCAGTTAATAAATGGAAACGATTTTTCATTTCTGAATCAAGGCTGGAATATTTTCCTACCGCCCATCTAGAAAAATGCCTGGAAAATGTCTGAGTGTGCTCAGGTGAGAACACAGGAGGAAAATGTTCCACAGGCGAGAGAGCATGTTGATGACGTTTCTAACACTCAATGGATGCAAAACTAAAAAAAAAGTGTTAACTTGGAAAGACGAGATTCAAGAGCTTTTTCTGATAAGGGCCGACGCCAGTGTCGATGATTTGTGCTTTCTGCAGCTAAATGTATACATCATGTCCTGCTTCCTGCATGCTGTACACTGACGTCACTCCTCACCGCACACATCTGACCAAACAAATCTCCTGATGTGTTCTTCATATGTGAAAGGCAAACTTACAGAGTATTGTGAGGTTATAATTATCCCTTTGCTATACATATGTGTGGATGCTGCTTACTGCCAAGTCGCTGTAGATGTGATCACCGAAGTACAGCACTTTGGATCCTCTCCAGCCGGTGAGTCTCAGGAACTCATAAAGGTTTCCCTACCATGATCAACAAATAACAAAAGTCAACAACAGAGCCTATCGATGTTCATACTGCGTTAATACATTGGAAATGTTTAACTAGCATGATGTGTTAACGCTGCACCTGTTTGTAGATCTGCCCTTTTTCCAGCCTGTGAATTCTGTCCCACAGCAACGCACCTTGGTCTGTCACTCGCCTGAAAGGTCTAGTTATAGAAATACACAAAGACAAATCTTACCCACTATATATACAATAGGAGCTAATATATATATTAAGAGCTCCAAAGAACACTTACACCTACGCTGTTTACACAGTGTTTAGGTCTACTAGTGCTTGTTGGCTGCATGGTCCAGTGAGACCCCTAGTGGGCTAGAAGAGGCATAACACGGGCATACAGACTTACTTTCTCCGGTCGTTGAAGAAACTGGGTTTGTCGGCCTGAACAATAACAACATCAAACAGGTCCCTCCAGTCCTTCCCTACAATGAAGCTCATTCCTCGGTCCCTGAGGAAGAAAAATATTCCAGATATCACCTCGTCAGCAGCATCCTGAAGCTCATCATGAGGGTACAAACATAAACAATCGACCTGATTCAGCAACAAGCAATGATGATGCAAACATCAGCAATATGTCCATCTGCTACTGAGTTAGTGTGAAAATATGGCAATCACATGTTTGGTTGCTGTAATGACTCAATGTGATTGATAATTAAACTGACGACATTAAGGAAGCATTTCAAGATTGGATAGATAGACCTGGTGCCTCATTTATAACCACTGCGTACGCACAAAACATGCTATCCCAGAATTCATTGCGCTTGAGTGACGAACCGTTTTCGAAAAGGTAATGGTGCTTGATCATCACGCTTCAATTCAACCAAACAGCTAATGGCACACCAAAGGCACTTAAAACTTGTGTTTAACTGCAGCTTTGTTGCTTAGCGACAGCAATAAGGGCGGGACAAGCTGGTGACTCTGAAATCCTCTGTAGACCAGACACTTATTTCGATCTGTTCTTCTGGGCTTACACAGCCCGCGTAGACCACGTCCTCTGAAGCCGATAACTTCCAATGAACTTCAAATTATTTGTGAACACAAAGTCCTTTGATGTGTGTGTGTGTGTGTCTGTATGCCCATCCATAAAAGTGAGAGCACCAGTTAAATATTTGTACAATAATAAATGAATTAACCGTGACGACAAGCGCTTGCACCCTGTTTGCTCATACTTACACAAAGTAAAAAGGACTGTTGGTGATGAGGAACATTTTCTTTCCACTCTCTGACAGCTTCTTCAGCACAGCATGGCTTTGCTCACCATAGCAAATGTATTTATCTGGAAAACCAGAAAATAGAGTGAGACAGAGAGAAAAAAAACAACATAAAATATGATTTGTGTAATCAAAACTCTGCTTTTTCATATGCGGCCGGACAAAGTAAAACAAATCAAAAAGCATTACCAATATCTGCCTCCACAGCTCGGTACATTATGCCCTTGACGTGAACATCTCTAATGGCTTCCTGTGAAGAGGAAAAAAGTAAATGGCCCCCAGCAAGGAAGTCTTGACTTTAGCAACACAATGTTGGCATTCAGCTCTCGCAGCAACACTTTGCTCTGCGTATAAACGGTTGACTTGGAAGCATAAAGAAAGTGCATCACTGAATACAAATTAAAACATGAAGAAAATAGGCCCTGGGGTTAAGTTACTTTGTTAACACACTGAGAAACTTTACACTACATTTTAAAATGTGTATCTTGCGCTTTTAAATCAGTGAATTGAGATGGACATTTAAAGGCAAACTTAAAAAGTTAAAGGAAAATGTATTGAAAAAAACTTGAGCAAAAGAAAAGATTAATATCGAGTGATGAATCAATTTTGGTAAGAAAAATAAAGATTAAGGAGTGTGTCCTTGAAAAGATAAGAGAGACACTCGTGAAAGACAGAGTGTGTGTGAGAGCTTTTAATGACAGCGATCTGTCAAACACGCTACAGTGTCACACAGAATAGATCGGACCGGCGTGACAGCTGCTCTCAGAGGAAGAACACACACCGCTGATTTCTCGCCTCTCTCTCTCTGAGGCACCCGAGCCACCAGTGAACAGACGCAGATGGCCAAAGGCGGGCTCGCTTCGACTAAAATTAGATGCCGGTTTTCAGAGCTAAAATTAAGACGCCGTTGAATGGCTGATGTTTCACAGCATAGCGCAAACAAGTAAATACATTGTCTTTCACTTGTGCCTGAATCTCCTAGCAGCCTGTGTGTGTAAATACATAAAATCCAGTCACAGAAAAGGGGAGTCATGCCGAGTCCTGAACACTAATAAACAAAGGTAGATCTCACCTTTACGTCTTTATAGAGATGGACTGGCTCGTAGTCGATGTTGTGCCTCATGAAGAAGTCATTGACGCAGGACAGGAGGGTCATCTCAGGCAGGGAGAAGATGTCCATGAATTGTTTCATGGTGTGGCCGTGGGAGCTCTGCAGGACAGTTATTAACTTAAATATTCTGCTGTTTTTACATCCATGTACCTTTGTTGATGCAGACAAATGTTGAAGTGCTCTTCACCTTGCCATAGAAGTCACTCATGATCTCTAGAGGTACGTGACAACCTTCATACATGGCAATTACTTCCTCATCAGAAACTGGATGAAGACCCCTGTAAGAGAAATATGAAAAACAAAAACAATTTTGCCACTTTATCTGCAGTTTTTGCAAACTCAAAGAAAGTTATAAGATTCTTAGTTTAAACATTGAATGACTGCATTAACTATATATCAAACATGTTTATTAGTTGCCTTGTGAGACAAAAATGTTGTACTCACACAGAGCTGTATAAAATGTACATTTTATCCCACTGCCCCTGGTATAAAACATTACACAGATACCTGTATACGGTTCCCAGCTGGATGTAGTGAAAAGCATCTATCTTCATCAGCAGTGCCTGTTTGAATAATTTATTTTCATAAAAATTATCTTCTTACTGGGCTTGAAAAAATGCCCAAAATTTTCAACAACCAAATATTGGAGTTCAACAACAAAAAAGACCTTACCTTTTGCACATCATAGTGAAGTCCTCTCACTGCAAAATCTGGAATATACTCATACTTTCGCAAACCCTCTGGATACTAATGCACAGAGAAAAATCAGAAGTTGATATCAGCTTTGCAGATAAAGGAAACATACAGTTATACATCGTCCTCCTGTATGTGAAATAAGTAATAGGTTTAAAAGAGTCAAACACTGCACACACCCTGTGGTTGGTGATTAAAATGTCCCGGGCTATGTTGAAAATCAGGGTGTGGAGTTGGCTGGAGTAGAAGGCGAGGGTGTAGTCATAGTCAAAGCCGTAGATCTCTATGTCTCGCAGGCTCATCTCGTTGTTGGCAAAAATGGTGTTGGGGTTGATGGCGTTGGTGCAAATTGCTGGGATCAAATCTGAAAAGAGAGACACGATAGACGTTATTTGGCTGTTTCGCAGGATTTATGTATGAAAGTTATTTTATAGGACTGAAGTTCTTGTGATAACGATGTATGGAGATGGATACATTCAGAGCAGTAACACAACTTTACACACACGTGGATTATTTGGTTGTAAACTTTGGGCAAGAGAAAGTGAAACTGAGGAGGAATGTGAGGTACAAATTGTGATGTAGTCCATTCTTGTCCTCAAGATTTTTTAAATTTTTTTAAATTAATAATACTAACTTGGATTTTATACAGGCTGCTCATTTTAGGTCCAAGCACATTTTAAAATTCCAATTCACACACACAAAATAATTGGAGTACTGTATAAATAAAAGCACTAGAGAATCACCACGAAGTTGGTTCAACACTTCTCTGACACATTTTCAACAAATACGGGACATTAAAAAAGTATTATTATGTTTCATGTTAAAAGGTTTGCTGTGTTATGATTGCCTTACGCACAAAATACTGTTAATAATATATGGTTATGTTCTTGTCTTGTCTCTCTATTTTGAATTCCTTGTATATACATATTTATATTTTTAGAATCATATCCTATTTTAGGCATCCACAGGCTGGCTCCACACAAAATTTCATTCCACTAGCAAAGTGACACTAAAGATCTCTTGAATCTTGGTATGGTTTTGAAATTGTGTTTAAGGTTTGGACAACATGACATCAACACCTTATAGGGGCGAGACAAATCGTTTATATGGCAATATATCTTCATCCGGATTCATGAGATCTGATCATCGACACACTGGCACCAAATTGCAGCGAATAAAAACACAAATCCTGACCTTCACCTCCTAGGGGCGTTTTGTTTTCTTCTTCAGTTTGACAGATATCATGATGTATTGTTACATGATTGTCTTGCAATGCATTCATTTACAGAGGTTTGCTGTATCGTAATATTTATCACGTATCTTATGGTGAGTTAACCTGTTATTCCCACCCCTACTGTAGAACATTTAGCTGCAGCAACTACTAAGACGACCAACGTCACAACCCTGCAGACACATCAGTAGACTTGAATCAACATAATGTGCATGTTGCAGGATTCTCAGGCAGGATTCGTCTACATAGCAGGCATGCATTGGAGTGCATACCTTGTGTCTGCCTCTTGGTCTGGTTGTAAACAGACCACAGTCTCTCTGTCATGTCCTGACCGTGTGAAGAGGAACTGCTGCGACACACTGATGCTCCGTCCTGCTGCTGCTGCTGCCGTGACAGGAGCTGACCGACTCCGAGCTGGACCGCACCGAGAGTCCGTCTCCATGACCGGGAGGTGGAGGAGAAGGCCCGCTGGTGTAAACCCTGCAGGACACTACAGAAGACAGCGGTCCTCTGGAGACACTTCCTGTGTCCGAGGAGGGACGACAGGGGCAGGGACAGGGACGCCATGGCAATGAAGTCTGTGAGGCCTGGGAGAGTGCATGTGGCTCCAAAGTGTCACTGCAGGAGGAGCTACGTCACATCCGTGTTTGGTAACGTCACAGCCAATCAGCGTCTCAGAAACTGATGCGCACACTGAGACGCTTCCTGCTTTTCCACTAATCAGCTAAGACAATTATTATGATAACAAAATTATAACATAACAATCATAATCACAATAATTATAACAATCATTATAACAATCATAATAATACTTATATTTAATCACAGTTTACATAGCACTTTTCAAAACAAAGTGCAAAGTATTAAATATTCCTAAAAATAACATAAAACAAATAAAAACACGGTTTCAAAAGAATATAAACAATATTTCTGCTTCAGAAAAACACACAGAGTTGTGTCTCTGTGACTTCAGAGGACAGTACATTGACTTAGGTTGATTTAATGGAGACTAACTGTAACCTAAACTACAGTTACTACTTGCCTAACCCTAACACTGACCTTACTTCCAACCCAAGCCTTAACCTTAACCTAACCTTACAAGTCTTCACCTTCATGTTTAATGATTTACATTTACTTTCACACACACACACTCACACATGATCATCATAACAGCCACTGTGTAACAATAGCTGCTACCTGACACCTGTGACCTGAATCTCCTGAGAGATTGAGCAAACAGTATGTGTATGGACTTATGTTCACAAATTGTTTTTCCTTTTGCTAAAGGTTTTTGATGTCATAATAAACTGCTGTTCCTCTATTCTAATAGCAGCTTCCACTTCCCTCTGTCTATTCCCAAATCTAATCTATTTACCATCCATTCATTACAATTTACCAGCAATTAAGTGTGTCGGAACGATTACACTAACTCAAACCTGCTATTCTCGTGTTACTGCTCTAGTCTCAAATGTTAGAATACTTTTGACTGTGAAATTAAATCTTGCACATCTTCTTTCTGACCGCAGGCTCGCCCTGACAGAGGAGGCCTCAGACTATCTGGAGCTTGAGACCATCAAGAACCTCATCAAGAAATACTCTCAGTTCATCAACTTCCCCACCTATGTTTGGGCCAGCAAGGTAAGACATATCCTTCCACACTTTGACTAAGAGTTGATCCCATGTATAGCTCTATCATGAAACTTGCAAATATGGAAATGAGGAGAAGTGGCAGCAAAATAGAACAGGCTACACATTCGATGGTTATCAAATATACATGACTAGGTATATGTATGTCACTATAAGGGCTACAGGAAAGAAAGAGCCAGAATAATGGCAGAGTGGAGTCAGAGAGCCAGAACAAACATCCTCATATCACTTTGCTGTGACCCTGCAGAAGAAAATCAAAGTTCAACCAACGTGTTGACTGACATTTTTTTTCTTTTTTGTCACTATGTACATTTTCGGAAGTGATGTGCTGATCATTCATTCTTAGCCAATGGTGTCGGGCCACGATTTTCGGGTATCGACTTATGTTGAAGAAGGTGATTGGGCGACGCGTGCCGTGTGCTACGCTCTGATTGGCTGAAGGTTGTGCGTGGTGCGCAGCCATTGGTCGGCCGCCCCGGGTCTGATAGAGTGAGCCGCTGCTGTGGGAGAGGCAGGCTGTCAGTCTCCGAGCTAAAGGCTGAGCTGCGTGCGCTGCTCTCCGGCTTTTGTCTCACAGCAGCTCCACACTCACGTCGACAGTGAAAATGAAACGAGTCTGGCTCACAGCTCTGCTCTTCGCCCTCTTAGCCTTTGGTGAGTAGCGGGAACATTCTTATCTCGCATTTATCTTTTTATACCCCAGAACTGTAGCTAGCAGGGTTAGCTAGCGAGCTAACTCACATTTCCTCCTCTCTGCTGTGCTTCTCTTGGCTCATTCGTGACTGCAGCTTTTGAATATGTGCACTTTCCAAGCTCAGTGTCGTCCGTTAGTAATTTTATTTCTCAATTATTGATTTCACAGAGCAACGTCAGTATCTGTTCTTCATTAGTGCTTTATCAGAAGTTTCTAGCTGAACCACCATGAATGTTAAAGCTGCCTGAAGCTAACTAACATGCTCTTACATCCACGCACATCCATGTTTTATCCTATAATATCCAGCCTTCCTAACACCCCCCCTTGCATATGTAGTGATTTTCAACATGTCTGTGTAGAGTTTCAGTCGCATTGAGAAAACCTGACATCCTGGACATTTCTCCAGCCGTACCTGCAACAATCAGTGTGCTTGCTCTTACATTTCTAACAATTGTCTTGTCCCTCTGCAGCTGCTGTGAAGGCAGAGGATGAACTTGACGTAGATGGCACAGTAGAGGAGGACCTGGGTAAAAGCAGGGATGGCTCCAGGACAGATGATGAGGTGGTGCAGAGGTGGGTGTTACGTGTTTTGGAATATTTCTTTTGTGCCTATTGTATGCACTGCAGGTGTCTTTATCAGAGAAGGTCGACTAAACCTTAAGTTAACAGAACAAGGTCAGTGTGACCATGCTTGTGCACACAACGCTCAGAGCAACCTTGGAATTGAAAGTGGTGGCCAAGCTTTGCAGGATTTAATACACACACTTCGTTAGGACCAGGGAACCATGTGTCTGGCCTTTAACTTGGATATTGATATCTAGAGTGGGGAGTTCTGTCACTATGATTTTAACCTGTGTGTATATCTGTGTCTTCAGAGAGGAGGAGGCTATCCAGCTGGATGGACTGAATGCAGCTCAGATTAAGGATATAAGAGAAAAGTCAGAAAAACATGCCTTCCAGGCTGAAGTCAACCGTATGATGAAGCTGATTATCAACTCCCTCTACAAGAACAAGGAGGTGAGCAGGAATAAACAATATAAATATTTGAAATACTGTCTGCAATATTGCAAAATAACCTCTTTTCTATTATGTCTGACAGTAAAGACTAAATTATGTGTTTATCTGTTGCAGATCTTCCTTAGGGAGCTGATTTCAAATGCCTCAGATGCTCTTGATAAAATCCGCCTGCTGTCTCTCACCAATGAAGATGCAATGGCCTCCAATGAAGAGCTGACTATCAAAATAAAAGTGTGTACATTTACTGTATGATGCGGCCTATAGTATTGATGTGAACAGCCCTTGCATTGTTGGTAATTTGTCTGTCTTCTTCCCATCTCCAGTCTGATAAAGAGAAGAACATGCTGCACATTACTGACACTGGTATTGGAATGACCAAAGAAGAGCTGGTGAAGAACTTGGGCACCATCGCCAAGTCTGGCACCAGCGAGTTCCTGAACAAGATGACAGAGATGCAGACCGAGACAGAGTCTACCTCAGAGCTGATTGGCCAGTTTGGTGTGGGTTTCTACTCGGCTTTCCTTGTTGCTGACAAGGTCATTGTGACATCAAAGCACAACAACGGCACTCAGCACATCTGGGAATCTGACTCCAATCAGTTTTCCGTCGTCGAGGACCCCCGCGGGGACACACTTGGCAGAGGAACCACCATCACGTACGTTCACAAATAGTTTTTCCTTTTGCTAAAGGTTTTTGATGTCATTATAAACTGCTGTTCCTCTAGTCTAATAGCAGCTTCCACTTCCCTCTGTCTATTCCCAAATCTAATCAATTTACTCTCCATTCATTACAATTTACCAGCAATTAAGTGTGTTGGAACGATTACACTAACTCAAACCTGCTATTCTCGTGTTACTGCTCTAGTCTCAAATGTTAGAATACTTTTGACTGTGAAATTAAATCTTGCTCATCTTCTTTCTGACCGCAGGCTCGTCCTCAAAGAGGAGGCCTCAGATTATCTGGAGCTTGAGACCATCAAGAACCTCATCAAGAAATACTCTCAGTTCATCAACTTCCCCATCTATGTTTGGGCCAGCAAGGTTAGATATTTCCTTCCACACTGTGACTCAGAGTTGATCCCATGTATAGCTCTATCATGAAACTTGCAAATATGGAAATGAGGAAAAGGCAGTTAGACCAACTCTTCCTCTCTACATTCCAGACTGAGACAGTTGAGGAGCCCATTGAGGAAGATGCCGAGGCAACAGAGGAACCAGAGAAAGAGACAGCTGAAGACGAGGCTGAGGTAGAAGAAGAGGAGGAGGACAAAGACAAACCAAAGACAAAGAAGGTAGGATTTTCATTTAGTGGTGCTTGATGAAAATTGGTAAATAAATTGATCTTTTTTTTTGAAAATGCGTATTTGTGGGCTATTTTTGAAAATGTTTTATCATGTCTGTTGTAGGTTGAGAAGACCGTGTGGGACTGGGAGCTGATGAATGATATCAAGCCCATCTGGCAGAGACAAGCTAAGGAGGTTGAGGAGGATGAATACAAAGCTTTCTACAAGACCTTCTCTAAGGTAAATAGCACAACAGTAACTCTGTACCTCAGTGTAGATTGAGCACGTCCATTGAAGACTCAACAAGTGTTAAATTTTAGTTACTTAAACATATGTTATGATTTCCAACAGGACAGCGATGACCCACTGGCTCACATCCACTTCACAGCTGAGGGTGAGGTCACCTTTAAGTCCATCCTCTTTGTGCCAACTTCAGCTCCACGCGGTCTGTTTGATGAGTACGGCTCCAAGAAGAACGACTACATTAAGGTATGTGGCTCGTTTACTACTCTACTATTTATCAGTTTCATCAGCTCAATTTCTAAATAAATGTCTCTTTCTGTCACAGCTATTTGTCAGAAGAGTTTTTATCACAGATGACTTCAACGACATGATGCCCAAGTACCTGAACTTCGTCAAGGGAGTGGTAAGTGATTTCTAATGCTAGTTATGGCAGAGTCGTGTTCTATTATGGCCTGGACAGACATTGATATAATGGCACCAGCATTGTGATTAATGTAAATTCATTTTACTAGGTTGACTCTGATGACCTCCCGCTGAATGTGTCCAGAGAGACTCTGCAGCAGCACAAACTGCTCAAGGTGAGCTTCACAGCTACATGAATACATCTCAATTCCACTTATTTTCCTCTTTAATTATAAATGTCCAATTTTTTATTAATCTGGTCTTTTAATCATGGAAAAGCAAACATATTTATTTTTGGACATTTTAAATTAGAAGTCTGGGAAAAGAAGGCGAACAAAGTAAAAGTTCTA